ACCACCAAGGTGGTTTACCGTTTACAGTTCAGTTTATTTCAGACGAATTGTGGTTATTGCCAATCGCGCAACCAGTTCCTCGTGTTGTCGGCGGTTTCGTTGGCTTCCAATGCTTGGAGTCAATAGTGTTTTCTGAAAGGCAGAATGTTAGTGTGCAGTATCAGATCCCTTGCAATGTTTCGGAAAGTAATACCTGAAGATTTACTTTCAACATTCAACTTCGAGTAATACCACTGCCCAGCATTCATCTAGCCTTCCCTTCAAAGATTAGACACCAATACAGTTAACCACCGCTTCAAGTAATTTATCCCACAGCGGTATGATTGTGAAGAACCTTGCTCGTAGATTCAGTCTACAATGACTTCTTTCCAATCTAAATTAATGTCCCCTTGTGCCCCTGGTAGGAACATACGAGAACAGGTTTTCGAACTTTAGACCCGAAAGACCTTTGACAATCTTAAATGTCTCTATAAGGTCGCCCCGCATGCGTCTGCGGGCCAGGGAGAACAAGTCCAGGTCCGTCAGTCTTTGAAGGTCAGGCCAGGTCAGGTCAGGTTGCACGGAACTGAATATGACCACAGCCAATCGAGCGTCTAGAATTCCTTCTATGATATGCTCACCCAGCTCTGCTGAAATAAGAATGAGAAATAGTATCTGATCTCACCACTCTGGAGAGTGAATTGTTAGATGTGAGCGTTCCACTACGTGCACCAGAGAAAAACGGAAATGGTATCCTAAACGTTCGAGATATATCTAGATAGATATATCTATTTACCTGTACTGTCATTGTACATATGATTATTGTGAACATATGATCATGCCCTGTGCATGCTTCACGGGCTTCGTGAAATATACATTATTATTATTAGTATTGTAGAACCACCTGAAAGAGAACCACAAAGGGTGTGGTACTGCACCACACTATTCTGTCTTTCAGAAAAATTGCATACCGGAATGTTGAACGCCAGGGAAACTTGCGGACAACACATGAATCTGGACGCTCGATTGGCAACAGCCACAAATTTTCCTGTGAAAACTGAATGGTACGTACCTCGCTCGCGGTCTGAATTTTTACGTTGCTCCTGACTATTATCCGTTTGCAAATGCCAAGTACATATACAACAATATTCGGCATCAGTGTCATTCCTCCAAATTTGTGACGTGGTAAATTCTAGTCTCGAAATTACGAATATCCGTGAGTTAAAGCCGCTGAAGCCGCTGTCAATCGTATAAAAGTCTGTAAACCCGCTTAGAGAAGATATTCGGTGAGTCTTTGGGTAGCACTTTTTGAAATCAGTGATTTCATTGCCTAAGACATTTTAAGTAGAGAAATTAGTTGCACACTGTTAGCTTTGCAATGGCTAAAACAGGTTGCTGTGGAGTTCTCAAGTGCCAGAAAATGGTATCTGACGGTATTCAGTGCGATTGCTGTGGATACTGGTACCACCAATCATGTGCTCGCCTAGACCGTAAAGCCTACGAAGTCTACGTAGGAGAAGACGCCTTGCAGTGGCTCTGCTACATATGCTCAGCACTGGCGGAGGGTGCCGGACGAAAAGCTGCTCCAGATGTAGGCAACACCGGAGTGAAAATCGAGAACTCACTGGATTCACAGGAAGAGCTGACGAAAATCGTAAAGGAGCTAGAAGGAAAGTTACCACGTTAGAGAGGGAACTGTCGCTTCTCAAATAAAGAAAACGAAACGGCAATGGGAAGAAACAGGAACATCCTCATTTATAACAATAATTAGGAATACGAAAGCGCGGGCTGACATAGAACAAAGAAAGGTCCGAGACCTCT